CAGTTTTCTTGTTTACTCAGCATGGCAGAATTGGCACTTGTGATACTTCAGCAGGAAAATGACCATTTATTCAAAGCTGAGACTTAGGTATATTCTTCAGGACAGCAGTTTGCAGTTGTTCCTTTGATTTAGCATTGTGTTCAAATTTTTAGTAACTTCATTTTACATTGACTAAACCACTTAAATTCAAAAATAGAAAACGAATATCTCTCAATTCTCAATCGGAGCTGTCAACTTTAGACCTAATAATTGATTGAGTCAAAGTTTTTTTAGAGTAATTGTAGAGAGTTCACCTTTCATCTTTCAGGAGAGCAGCACTAAATTCTACTTTCTTAGAGGTACGTTTGATATTCTGACGCATATGAAGAGTCTTTCGTATCCGACGAACCCGCCTTGAACAATATCCTCTGGATCAAGATGAGAAAAAACAAGAAAAAAAGACAGTGAAAATGAATACATTAAAATATGTTAAAACAGAATTACTATTTCAAAAGAGAACTTAATCTGAATCATTTGTATCTCTTGATAAGTATTAAGTTGATATTTGGTTTTTCAACAAATATAGGTACATGAATAATATAGCTCAACGAGGAAAACAAGTTGCAAATTCACCTACATCGGTTCAATTACTTTTTTGAGATCGTAAAAGACAGGAAAATTTGATAGGAAAAATCTTACCGATATCTTTGATAATCATCATGCCGTAGACCATGCTGTTGTTGTGCCTCTTTAATGATTTTCAAAACTGGAAAAGAATATAATCACAGGATATAATAAAGTAATGATGAATATCACATTACCAGCAGACTTTGGTTCAAGAAGCATTTAGCGCCCTCAGAAAACGCAAATTGCAAAAGGTAACTGTGTTCAATCAGGCCCTGAATGCGAAGGACCCCGCACATGTCTTAGGGGGAAGGGTACCACGATTGATTTTCAGTTTTTTTATAGTTTTAAATTTGTGCTGATCAAAAGTCATCATTGCACCAACCTTTGACAAGCCACCATTTTCGCACAAAATCGCCGGAAAATGTTCAATAATTCCTTGAATAAATGAAGGTAGTACGAGCTCTATACTCGAGAGCCGTTTGGGTTGGTCGGGTGGGTGTCAATCACATAAACAGGAAAACCAATCAGCATCTGAGCGACAGTCTTAATCGCGCATTCCACACCCTTTTACTTTAAACAGTCCAAATCAGTTACATTCTTTCTCTCCCACTCTATTGTCCTTACCAGACAGACACGCATTGCGTTTTGATTTCAGCCGGCCTGTCCTGGTTATTACCAAAACTTCAATAATGTACTATGCGAAAATGGTGGCTCGTCGAAAGTTGGCGCAATGATGACTTTTGATCGGCATCATTAGACGAATTTCAAAACAATAAAAAATTAAAAATCAATCATGGTACACATCCCCATAGTGCAAAACAATTCTATGCGTTTCTATTCCGGTATGTTGAAATTATCGCTCCTATTTTATTTTATCACGTAGAAACAAGTCAGCATCATGGCTTGAAATTTATACAGAATATTCTAGTAACAGAGAGGAAAATTTAGGAAGTTTCAAGAAATTATGTTCACCAGTTCTCCATAGAAAAAATAGAGTAGGTATGACAAGAAGTCTGCGGTGTCGCAGACAGAGGTACGTTGTTTCGCTCATTGGCCATCCACCTGCTCAGGTGCTGAGGCAGAATATCATATTGGTTACGACTCCAGTGCATTGGACTGTTACCATCCTCATTTTAATCGGTAACACGCGCCGCCGCATGTAAAGAACATCTGTTGGTAGAAAAATTCCAAGTGTGAGGGAGTATGATCTTTCATACTTTGAACAATTCAATGATCCTAAGCCTTTAGAATCTGCAATTTTCCTAGAAGGATAAAAGATGGGGCCTCCGGCTGAAAAGAATCATGATTCAAGAGTCACCAAAACCCAATTTAAAATTTCCAACTCAACAGAGTTGGAAGATTGAAAGTGAGGTTATCCAGATGAAAATTCACCACACATACCTTCAATAGTGAATAATTGATGATCCTTCCTTTTAGACTCTTTTCCCTCGTTTTCAGCACTTGCAGATTTTTCTCCGACATTATCACTTTTATTTTCGTCCGCAGCAACCATAGTTAATTCTCAATTGAAAACTCCTGAGGCTGATAACAGGGCACTTGCAGATCTGCACTCTGCAGAAGCAGAGCTGCGTTGTCGAAGTCAACTGTTGAGGAGCGTTGGGCAATGGAATTACCCGATGCCCAACGCTCGGCGTTGTTCGACTTCCGTTGGGATTGCCCGATGTCCTGGACTGTTTACCAAACGGAAGTCAACAAGTCATCGGTCTCAGGAGGTAGTTGAGAGCGTTGAGCTAACCTCTAAATGATATTGTGCACGCGGTGTCACATTCAAAACATGTTCAAAACACAACAATTTTTAGTCAACAGAGACGACCAACAACGCGTTTTCCAACGGGTAAGTCAACTGTCACGTGATATCCGTTAGCGTTGAGAAGCCCAACGCAAACGGAAAGTTGACTTCGACAACGCACCTCAGAATGTTTGAATGTTTACGCCTACGTCACGTCACCCAATATCGTGTTGCCAGTTGGCATCCTAATTATGGAATTATTAGTAGATTAGTTAAAAGATTATTGATTATAGTTAATAATTCAAGCATCGGATTTTGTTTCGTATACTTTTTAACTCGACACATTTTTCCTGATTTGTTTACGTTTATTTATAATCAAAAGAATTATGCTGTTGAATTATGCTCCATAACAGTATTTTAGTGATCTAAATAACAACTACCCTAATGATAGCAATGACCTTTTAAGTAAAACATTCTTCAAAACTCTTAAAAATCCTTTACGGCTGTTTTTTAATTAAAATTTAAGAGAAAAAAAGTGTTAAAAAAACACCTGAAATTATCACTGTAGTTTTATAACATATTTTTCAAACATTTTTAGCCTTGAAAAACTAAGTTGATATTTTAAGAGATTCTATCACACTTTTTTTACCTAAATTTTACTGCTCGCATAGGTACGAGCCGAGGAATCCCGCGTTTGATATAATGAGTACAAGAGAGAAGGTCGACAAAACAAGGTATGACCAAGGCAAGTTGAGCCCTGCCTTCGGTTTGCGAGACTCATTACGAAAGAGTTGTCGAGTTCCTTCAGCAGAGTACGTTTAGTGTAATTCAAAATGAGCTACCTATTAGGCGCAGGGAGTATCCATGGCCAAAGTGCGAAACCACGTATCTCCATTGCAGTATTTCAAAATCTCCTCTGCTATTTCACTTTTCCAGAACGAGACAAGCCAACTTTAAAGCTTGAAATTTAAACAGAATATCTGCCGACAGAGTAGAAAAATCAAGGAAATTGTCAAGAAATTAAAATTACTAGTTTTCTAAAGAAAAATCAAAGTTTGAAAGGAAGTCTGCAACGTCGCAAACGGTGATACGTGGTTTTGCACTTGAAGTCGATTTTAAATCTATTGATAATCATGCTTCCATTGGAAAAGTTAGGAGAGCGCCAATACGCTTTTTTCTCAGTTTTTTTAAGACTAGTATTTTACTTTGAACTTTCGATATCATTTTCGAATGACAATAATGAAGGGACAGTTGGTCTTGGTAGCTGTCTTTTCATTATTGTCATCCCAAAATTATATCGCTATAGTTCAAAGTAAAAAAATTCTAGACGAATTTTTATGGGTGATGGGTGATAAGTAGAAGAAGAAAAAATTAAAATAGACAGGACGATTTTATTACAATAATTTAAGTTACAGAGTTTCGTGGTAATAACTTATCATACATTAACATGGAAAATGTAAGAATTTTAAGAAGGCTTAATCCATTTCTAGAAGGTTAAACCTATGAGCCAGCCTTCAGCAATTAAGTAAAATACTGAAGTTAGAAAAAGGCTGATGTACCGGCCAGTTACTATGCCACCGTAAGCAGGGTAAACAGCCAGTGCAATAATGTTGCATGGTATACTTTATATTTTTACTAGGGGAATGAATCTGCTTCAGAATATACATGGATGTTTGTAGTCTTAAATACAGAGATCAATAAGAATCATCACATCAGAGTTATAAATGAGGACAAGTATACAAGTTATTTTTAGTTGAAATTACAGGAACATTGAAGTATGTTAAAGGGGCAGTTTTCCAGTTTTGATGATTAAATTATAACATGTTATATCCGCACGGATTAGGATATCTCAAAATTTATATTTTTGATCACACGATTAATTTTACCATTTTTTTTCTTTCTTTTTTTTTCCAGATATTGAGATGTTAACTTATCCTTATGGAAAATGCTTTTATAAGTATACTGTGGTAACTAGAAAAGACATATTTTACTTCATCGATATTATCCCCAGGGAATTTCTAACAAAAATAAAGGAAGTTGGTTTCAGAATAAAAACTCATTCCATGACAGGTTTTGGATAATTGGAACAGCATTTCCAAACACAATTAGCCCCCCTTTAATTTTACAGAGATTATCAAAGAGTTTCAAGTAAACTACACGATCTATTGGAGAAATAATACAATTTATCTGATACTTAATCACTCAGATACTTTACCTAGCAACAAAAGAGGGTCTAAAAAACAATATTCCAAGATCAAAATTATTGAGATAAATATACCCGAAGTTATAGGTTAAACTCTGTTAGAACTCCATGAGATCAATGATACTACCCTAGGCAGTATTTTAGAAACATGCTTATCTTATAACTTTTAAACTTCACAAACATGTTTCATTGTAAAAAAAAAAATTACGGAAAAAAGCCTTGGACATAAAGGATTTTAAATAACACTTCATTAGGGATCTGAAAGTTTAAGAATTATTGCTTTCACCAGAGTTGGGGACTAAAAAACAGTCGACAGAGAAATGATTGAACGAAGGACAAATATTGCGGCAAAACATTAGCCACCTTTAAAAAAATTGAATACATGAGAAAAGCAACTGGGCATACTGGCACAAGGCAGACAAAATACCATTGGCTAATACTTGAATGAACAGAGATATTCAGTTGTGAGATCAGAGAAAAAAATATGGAAAAAATACAACTTAAGACTGAAGAAATTAAGTTCTTTTAAGTCAGATGCAATACTAGAAAAACAGTTTTGTACCATGTTCAAAGGCTAAAATGTCGGTGTATGAGAGGCTAAAATTGTGTGAGAACAGTAACTAAACATTGTCGTTTAATCCCTGAATGTATGTTGTCCCTGAGTTCTGAAACAAATTTTCAGATTTTTCTTTCCTTCCTTAAATATGATACAGAGAGATGTAAGAGATTGACTTCAGTAGACTCAAAACCTTGTAATGAAAATGGGACTGTCCCTACATCACACTTCACTCCGCTTGAAAATGGGCATTTTCAAAATACATAGATCTGAACATAAAAATTTACTCATAATTTTTTGATCCTCAGAAAATTGGCAATTCACTCAATTTGCAATTAATGTTGAAAAGTGTGACAACAGCTTGCAATTCACTCCTTTTCCTATTTTATAGACCAAGACCTTTACACACCCTTGAAAAGACTCTACTTAGAGGCAAGATGTGTTTTATGAGCAGTCCCTTTCCGATGAAGTCGAAACTTGAGCTACATGAACACTAAAAAAATTCTACAATAAACCGTTTTAGTACCTACGTCACAAGTGTGATATACATCATGTAGTGCCCTACCTAGCTCATCACTGCTTCGATATACAAGGGATTTTCTATGAGATTGGAAAGCTAGTTATTAAATGCAAATGTTGAGTGGTTCAAGACCTTTTGACAAAATTTTTTGCGATACTGAGTTCTTCAAACATAAAGTTTTAACGTTGGCCTAGTGATATTTTAATATCGCATCGAATTAATCAATTAAACTCAATACATAGAAAAAAAATTCCGAAAAGGCGTTTATGTTATTCTCCTGTTAATAATCTTATCATGCATTTTAGGGAACAATTTTTGTGTATTTGCTCTGTAATTATACAGGTAACCTAAATATCTGCACCTAGTTTGTCGGATGTTGGATCCTAAGATTGGTTTTTCCCTTCCAAGAGTGCTGCGCTTCAATGGAACCAGCTGAATATATCTCTCACTTTTGTTTCAATTTATACATGATTTTTCCGCTTTAAACAATTCAGTACATAAGTATATTTGTTTAAGTAAATTTCAGTTAATATTTTCAGAGGGATGCTACCATTATGCTCCAGGTACTGACTGTTAGCATACAATAATAATGCTGTTGGAAAGTTGCCTGCTCCATAATACTATGCAGTTACAGTAAACTCATGTAGCATCAGGTAAAATCTGATACCATATTAAGAATTCAAAAGGTGAAAATGTTCATTTGAGGGTTTAAAGCGCTAATAATCGCAAGAAAATCTAGCATAGACTGTTTTGAACCAGCCAAAATTTTCGTTTAAAAATTTATTTTAGACTCCTAATGGATGATCACTTGTAAATCAAACCAACCAAATGTTGGCTGGGGCATTGAGGCCAAACTCGTGATGTATCTACAACTGTTATCTAACACTAAAGGTCTACAGGCGCTGAGGTCAAGGCCATGCTAACCTTAAAAAAAAAATTAGCCCGACTGCTGTTAAAAAAATGTAAATTTCATTTCTACGCAACTGATTTTGGTTGTGATGTGTGGACACTCGAAATCAATGCGTGGCTTCCTCATTACAGCACAAGGCACAAAGCTTATCAACATTACTATCTCTTTGCAATGCAGTTTAGTAAAACAATTTATTGAAGCCATTTTAAGGACTGAAAATTATACTTTAAGCCCTGAACATTTCTATCTAGCTTTTAAAAAACTGCGAATCAAACTGGAAATATTAATAATTTTAAGACTACAAATATCTTACTTGACTAAAAATTATTTTACAGGATAATGGAGGTGCAGTATTTCCCTGAAAATAGTTTGAGTTCAAAGAATCTTTTGAGCCGCTGATAAAACTTGTGTCATGCAAATGTTTCAGCAACCTGGTGGGTCTCAAATATATGTGCCTACTATACATTTGTATTTGGTAAAGAGATTAGAAATATTCAAAATTCTTAAGCAAAATATAAAACTGACAAATTTTTAAATTTACATTCACAATCATAAAAAAATTCTCTATCCAACAATGAGTGGACAAAGAGACATCGCCATTTGAAAAAATAAGTTAATTTATTATATCTACACTGAAACTAAAAAAGTAGAAATTCTTAACTTACAAGGGGAGCTTCCCAAGTGTAACCGGAATTTCGAGTTGAAATTTCGCATGAAGATACTAGAGATGATTTTAGGGATGCCGTATTTTTTCGTTTTTTCGAATGGGGTCGGGAAAGCCCTAAAAAAAAGGGCTAAAGATGCGGAAAAAACGCGTGCGCTAGCGGCACAAGGTAAACATAGGTGATAGAGGCTCACCATTCTTATCAGTTCCGCATGGCCAAACGGTAGCGTGCTCGCCTCGCAAGCGGGAGGTCGTAGGTTCGGATCCTGACTACAGCCCGTAATTTTATTTTACTTTATGCTTGTTCATTTTTCACTTACTTTATTTTGCACCATTCTCTCCGAAAACCGACTTATGAGGTAGAACACGTAGTGACTGAAGATTTTTTACAAATGCTGATAAAAACTCGAAGTTTCCTCGGATTTAAACGTTATATATAATTGAATAAACAAAACACTCTAAAACTCACCAAATTTCGTTGCCAAGCTGAATTTCCGGAGTATCAGTCAGATACAGATACAGATTCGACTGATACTCCAAAAAACTAGCTTGGCGACGAAATTTGGTGAGTTTTAGAGTTTTTGTTTATTCAATTATATATAACGTTTAAATCCGAGGAAACTTCGAGTTTTTATCAGCATTTGTAAAAAATCTTCAGTCACTACGTGTTCTACCTCATAAGTCGGTTTTCGGAGAGAATGGTGCAAAATAAAGTAAGTGAAAAATGAACAAGCATAAAGTAAAATAAAATTACGGGCTGTAGTCAGGATCCGAACCTACGACCTCCCGCTTGCGAGGCGAGCACGCTACCGTTTGGCCATGCGGAACTGATAAGAATGGTGAGCCTCTATCACCTATGTTTACCTTGTGCCGCTAGCGCACGCGTTTTTTCCGCATCTTTAGCCCTTTTTTTGAGGGCTTTCCCGACCCCATTCGAAAAAACGAAAAAATACGGCATCCCTAAAATCATCTCTAGTATCTTCATGCGAAATTTCAACTCGAAATTCCGGTTACACTTGGGAAGCTCCCCTTGTTAGTTTCAAATTATGTCTTGATGATTTTAAAAACTAACATTGCTTTAACTTAAAAAATACAAACAGAGGAGATAATTTTCAATACGTCAGTTGATAATCATCAGTGGGAGAAAATCCCCACTTTAATGTTTAAAAAAAAATGTTAATGTAAAAATGAGATCACTCTTTTAGCGTAAATAATTCAGCTTTTTAGTGTGGTTAAAACATTGATCTGCACGTTGGTCTCATCACTCCACTGATCATTGATTTTTTTGCAGGGGCAAAGCTGATACAATCTTTGAATTAAAAAAGCTTCTATATACAAAAATTATGATCTGCAGAATTGCAGCTGAACTTCCTGCTCATGAATAAATTCAGAAAGCAAAAGCATCGTTGCTGTGACCATGGATAGATATGTTCTAAAGGTTTTTGTCCGCTGAATGTATTTTAACTATGACTGAGCTTTCGTACGATAGACTTCATCGTCATTTGAGAGATATTGCTACCTGAATGCAACTGCAAGGGTCATGCATAGGAAAAATAACATTCCATTTTGTAATTAAGGGTGAGGCAAATTGATGGTAAAGGATACCATCATTGATGGAGCACTAAGGTACAGAATTTCACTTAGAGAGAGGATGATTAAGTTGTCCTTATAATAAAGGATATGTAGCCACAGCTCACTTACATTTGCCTAAAATGTTGATTACGTAGTTTTGTCTCTTCAAGATAATGCACTTTTAGGATTTTGATAAAGAGTGATCTAAAACGTTATCACTTTTTACAGTTACCATCGCCATAGTTTTGCATGTATGTCAATACAAATCCCCTTTCATATGAAAATAACAGACTAGTAGACACAGAGCATCAATCATCATTAATCATAACAAGAAAGCCCCTTCGAGTACACTTTTCATCAAAATCCTAGTTTATCATTGTTTTCTTGGTCTGGAAAAAAATAAGAGCTCATGACCACAAGACAATCGATGAGTTACAGACTGCAATAGCAGTTGATGAACCTTGAAGCTAAGAACACAAACTAAAATGAAAATATTACAAAAAGTCTTACAACTGATGAGTATACTGACCCAGCAATTCACAAATGCAATAAAAGTCAATGGAGGTGCAGAAAAAATATTTGAGTTACACTTCTAAAATGAAACTTTAGAAGCCATGTTACTTAAGCTCACAAAAAACTAAGTGAAAAACTTAAAATGATTGGTACTTAAATAAATGAGTTTGAGAGCAGTGAATGCAAAAAGAATTTTAAAGCGTAACCTTACAAGCTAAAAAGGCGAGCTGCAACTAACAAGCTTCCACAAAGTAAAATAGTGTAGATTTTACCGTGCTCTTGGAGCCAAAACATTTTTTTGTGTTTTATCGGGAGGAGAGGGGGTGGTTTTTTCATGTTTACCAAAATGTTGATTTCTTTTGATAGCTTCTTCGGCTTAACCGGAAGACTTCATTTAGAGCTCAGAACAAAAGTTGTGAAGTGCATTAGATGAGTTTAGGACTGCATTTGTGACTAATTAAACATAGCAGAGATTTATTTCCTATCAACAGAAAGCCCTTAATTTCTGAATACCTTCAAAAACTTTCTCAGGTACCCATGAAATTAGTCACTAAGACACTTGCAGACCAGTTTTCTATTGGTTCTTGGTCAATTAATGGCGAATCTTAGAAGCTAAAAATGTGATTTGACTCAACTTAACAGAGAGAGACAGAAAGATAATTCTTTTGAGACAAAAAAACCCTAGAAAAATAAACACAGTCAATGCATACAACACATCACTAACAAATACAAACAGATAGAAGTATACTACTTGGTATAAATGGTAAAATATGTAGAAAAGACAAAATTTCAAACATGTACAATTTTAAACACAGTACTTGTAAACTTTGAGAACAAGTTAACACTAATCAGGACAACTTATCCTCCTCATTAAATTGGAGTATTTATCCAGCTTCATGTCAGCAACTATTCCAACTCTTCTTAAAATATCAGATTATAAATACAATCTCCAAACAAATTTACAGTGATAAATTCTACATAAAAATAGGTTAATATTTTCTTACAAAACTTGTACTATTTTTGTTGTACATACTTTCAATTGAATACTGTCTTTTTTTATTTTTGTTATTGTTTCATTATTGTAGGTTAAAATCGGTAGTTGAATAGTTATAATAAACTGTAACGATAAAAAATTGAGGCTTCTGCTGTGATTAAAAAAGGTTAAGGTTCTCTTTGAGCTCGGTGCTCACTTGAGCATTTCTGATGCATGAGCCAAACAAGGTGTGCGCCTAGTGGCTACATCTTCATGTACAACTTGAAAGCTCGTCCCACACGAGCAGAACAGCATCAAAAGCTTCCTACATTATTCGGCGAATTCATTAGTTTCTGAGCTATGCATAGCTTATCTTTATTATCAGCGCAAATCAGGTACGGTTGACTTCTCCCAACTAACCAAAGTCCAATACTCATTGCGCATAGGACGAGCACTCACGAAAAAGATGCAGCTCATGCTGAGTGGCGCAACAAGAATGAAAGACGAGTTCAAACTGTGCATTGGGTGCTGCTCATGCATTGAAAATGTTCAAGTAGATACCCAGCTTAAAACAACGGAAGTTAACACAAAGGACAGGATTTTTGGTTAATATTCCTAAAAATCGTAGGATTGCATAGGATTGATTGAAATGAAAGATTATGGATAGGAAACTCTCAATGCGCCATTTGTTGACAACAATTTATACTCAAATGGGTAAGTCTTCGATTTTGCTTTTATTTCACACAACTGAAGGATTCTAAATTTACTTGATCAAATGATTGATGGTTTGATCATAGATTTTGTCTGAGAGTTAGAGGGTATTACTAATCCAAAAGTTGGTGCGTAGAAATAGTAATGAGAAAGGTATTATGCTTCGATAGAATAAAAAAAGATCACTAATATTTCACAAATCTTCACATCATCGGTGACCAGTAAAAACACTAAACAAACAGAAAAACTGTAAAATTTGTGGTGTAACATCCATTTAAGGTAAATTAGTTTCAAATGCACTGTTGGTGAAACTCGAAGTATGTTTGAATTTAAGACTGGAGAAAAGCTAATCGTCATCTTTGCTTGAGAATTTCTGTTCTTTTTCTTCATTCAAAAAATCCTATGCGATAATTTCAAGCAATTAAGTTGGTTTACTTGTCTTGAAAGAAATTTAAAATTAAGAGGAAGCTGGAAATTTAAAAAGCTGCCATTGAGAGGTGTATATTCAAAGTTCAGTTATTGAACAAAATTCGGCAAAATCAGCTAAAGCTAAATCAGCCTAAAACTTTTTTTACCGCTAATACATTTATAAATGGTAGAAAAAAGGAGGGTTATTTGAGCACACAACATTGCTTGCGTTGATTTAAGGATCTCCGAAACACTACTCTGCTTGGTTGAATTTTTATAAATGTTTCTCAGTTTTAAAAAGTGCACCAATAAGTTTTTAATAGATATTTTTCATGCCAAATAAGTTTGAGCACTTCTAGACTGCAACAGAAAATCGTCTGATGTCACCTTTACGGGTCAAGTAAATGGAAGAATTAAGATGGTTGATCCTCTGTCGCGGTTTAAAGTACATAAACTTATTTGGCGTGGACTCTACTAAGAACCCTTTTACAATATGGATTGTTTAAATTGGACTGATTTAGACGGATAAACACTATATGAATTCAACAGACTCTTGAATGATAATAAAAGAATTAACACTCCAAACGCCACGGAGAAAAATTAGATAATCACTGAGAAACAAATGACTTCTGGTCAGTGAAAAATTAGTTTTTCCCTAACAGAACCTTTTGCAGAATTTACTGATTGCTTTATCAACAAAATGATATGACTTCATTTTTGCTAAGGCCTTTCAACCAGAGATGTAGACAGAATATGAAAGTGGTATCAAAATGTCATTGTACCTTTGGGCCAGTAAAAAGAAAAATTGACAACTTTCTGACATTGAAGATTCAGTTGTCCAAAATCGAGCCGTAACATTTATTCATAAGCAGTAAATATTTTGTTTTTCTAGAGATGCTTAAACAAAATATGAGATTCAAAGGGTTTCATGAGAAATGATAAAAATTAGTTTTCAGTTCCGTAAATTAAAACTAACAGTTGAACAAGATAAAAATATTTACACAACGAAAAATTGAAAAGTTGGTAGACAAGCTGTACAAGCGAAGTGTGCAAATATTACAGAGAGAATATAAAAAAGTATTCATCAATTGCGGTATTTAGGGCTTATGCAGACTAGAACAAAAAAGCCAAGAAACTATTCATTTCTTGAGCAATTCGCACCGGGTATAGCAATGAAAAATGAATTAACTTAAAATTTCATCAGAAATAAAACAATAGTTAAAAATATTTTAGAAAAAATGAACTGTCTTTAGATAGATACGAAAAAAGGGTGATTAAGAAATTTTCCGATCAGAGCTCCTACACTGATGTTGATAACACCTATAAAAATTCTGCGACCAAGAACATTTGCTACGAGATTCAGATTTCTAATTTTCCTCTTGTCTCCGTAATTCCTTAAAAAAAGTCTTTATTTGTTTCCAACAATTTTTTGTGTAACATGTAAAATAGATGGAAGAATGTTAGGAGGATATGTTACAAGGGCGTTATTGATAGTGCACTTGAAGAGGATGGGACAGCTCCGTGAAAAATTATGAAAAGAAGGAGATTTTCTCTGGTAAATGTAATGAAGATGAAAACATCTGTTTCTGAGGTCTCATTAAAATGCATGCAATATAAACGACTCTAGGTGATATCAGTACCTAATTTTTTTTTTCAATTTTGTGTGGATTAAGGTTTTGTTCTCCTAGTTAGTGGAGAGGATCGATTTAAGTGTGAACTTGGTCAGCAAAAGCAAAATTTTTAAAATGAAAATAAACACGGAAAAATTTGAAAGAGAAAAAACAAATACTGAGAGCAGTCGGCCTAAAACTGTTCGATATCAGAAACAAAAGGTAAAAGCTCAATTGATGAGAGTATTTCTTTATGCCCAATTTTCATTTTTACAGTAAAAAAATTAAACTGTGTCACATCCAAACTGCCACTTCCTTGGCCAGGAACAAATTGCATCATATGTACTTACAAAAAAATACCTTTCTGCCATTAAAAAATACACAAACTTTGCTGCATACATAAAAAGTCAACAGCCGATAAACAAATTCTGAAATCTAAGTAGTTCAGGTTGAAAAAATAAAAATACAAAATAGACTTTACATACTTTAAATCTGATATAATAAAGTAAATTTTTTATGCAAAGTTAGGTTTATTTCAAGATTCGATGGAATTATTATGATTGTTCCTCCTCTTGTAAAAGAACTATTTAACTGATCCAGTTATTTCTTTCCAGATGATTCACAAAAGCTATTCCAAAACTGTGAGATTAGGCATTTTGGTGTATTTATCAAAGGAAATACACTGTTGTTTGTTTCTTTTTTAATCAGACTTTCAATTTAAGACGTTTCAAGAGTTTCTTTAAGTTTCAAAGAATTTCGTTCATTGGTAAAGGCTATCAATCGAACAGCTGAGTTTTTACCTGCAATACTGATGCCCTAATTTTACTTCAGAATTTCAAAATACCCTTTTAAGACAAATATATACTTCTTGTGGATGTAAATTTTGGGTAAAAACCTGAGTAAAATTTAAAATGAGTCATAAATCAATACAACTTAAATACACATCAAAGAAAAAAATGCCTAGATTCACATTAGGCTGAAGTTTATGAAAGGCCTCCATTCATAAAAATTATCAGCTTTAAAAATTACAGAAGTAAGCTCATCTGGTCAAATTCAGCTGATAAAGCAATTCTCAGGATTTAACTACTTGATTGAGAAAGGGTCTTAGAGATAATGTAACGAGAACTTTCTTAGTTCATGACCTTAATGCTAGTTTGTTAGCATGCTGCTAGCAACTGCTAGTTTTAGATGAAAAATTCGTTGTATGATCTTTTTTCTCAAAATCTCCTACGCAATTGTTATTAAACCACTTTCATACTGATCCCACACAGCCAAAAACATAAAAACTGCGGAAATGAATTATTGATAAACACAGTCTATCAATTTAGCAAGGGTGTAGAGAGCTTTTCCCTTCTGAACTTATGCAGGATTCTGAAAACAGATTTTATATTTTTGCAACCTGATAATTTGAGGATACGGCGGAAAGTTAGAGAAAACTTGGAATAATGCTTTTAAAATTTTCTCTGCCTTTGACAATGAGCCCCAAGTTTGTGCACTTTCCAGTATTCTTACTGAGAACTTCTGGAGAAAACTTCCAGAGAATTAGCTCAAGTAAATCTGACAATATCTCAATCACTTGTTCGGTCCTTTGAAGAGGACCAACAACTTTAATGTCATGCCGATAAATATTCTTACAAATTACAATCACCTTAAGTCACTGAATGAGCGAAAGTTATCGTTACAGTATCATTTCTTAAAAGGAAAAAACGGGGGTCATCTCCAGGAGTGGCCATTGGAAAAGTTTCCACTTTTGTGAGCTTTTAGAGGTTCAGTTGACCAACTGAACATGCAGGAGCAGCTTCGCAAAGAGAAAAGAGTGCCTCCCTAATGAACATATTCACAAGCTGCTACTATGAGCATGCTCATCAGTCATTAATCCCCATTAGCTAAAAGGAGAAGTCCACATGTAAACTGACTGAATGTAAAAATCGGTGACAGAATTCATGGCGGGGAAATTGGGGAATCTGAGAAATGACTGTTGATTTGAAAAACCATCTAAGAAGAAATAAATACTGGTCAAAATTAAAAAGCATCTTTGGCTACAGATACAAAAGCCATCATGTCAGGAGCAAAATTTGAGTGAGCACTCGGTCCTCCGTTGCTCCGAACGGCCATACCTCAAGACATGGGATCAGTTCCTACATGATTTTGCGTTGGTATATGTTGAGAGAGTTCTGCTTTTACTCGCCGTGCAATATGACTCCTTGTATGCTTACGCAAATGATCTTTCCGATAGAAACCTTTGCCACACTCAGGACAAACATGTCTCTTTTCCCCTGAATGGATTACAAAATGAAGAGTTAACTGCTCCTTACGTTTGAAAGCTTTCATGCAAACCGTGCAAACAAATGGACGATCTGGATTGTGGCTTTGTTTATGACGTGTTAAATGATCTTTGCGCTTTAAGCCTGCACCACAGATATCACAGAAAAATCTACGTTCCATCGTGTGACCTAATAAATGCTGCTCTAGCAGTGCTTTGTCTGGGTATGCCATGTGACATTCCGGACAACAGTACAAGGTTGATCCGTCAAGAGCGGTCGTTAGACGAATTTCACCAGGTTTTGGGCGAGGTTTTTTCTCTTTGGCCGCTTTCTTTTTCTTTTTCTTCTTTGGTCCTAAATGTCCCTGGTCACCCATGCCATCAGTATTCTGATGATCGCCTATTTCAGGCTCTTTCTTCATATTTTCTGCAGAGTATTTCAAAAAGTGATGTAATGATATTGGTAAAGTTGAAGCAGGTAAGTGAGATAAGTAATCAGCAACAGTTGAGCCAGGTGCTGCAATACTCTGCCAAGAGGGGGGCATGGTTGGTTGCTGATGCTGCAACACTGATGAATAGTCTTCTTCTTTTAAGTTTTCTCGTTTAATAGGACTTATTTGCTGATTTGTAAGCTGTTCTTGATTATTCGGGTAAGATGGAAGAGTCCGTTTCATGTCTCCTTGAGAGGTACGGTTTTCAGAGATGTGAGGATTATTGCCATAGGGTACAGCATAGTGATGGACTGTGGAAACATTACTTTCATTTTGATACTTTGAATTTGCAGATGATGTGCCTGTGCTTACCATTTGCGATCCAACATCGCGATGGTACTTGGAACTCATTGCTTGTTGGTTGAGCGTAAAATGTCCACTAGAACTTACCGGCGTATACCTATTACCACTATTCAACATACCTTCATCAACATTTAGATGACCATTAGTGTGTGAAATTCCATTCACTGTACTGCTGTTGCTCGTTCCAGAACTGCTATCATGACTAAATTTAGCTGCAAACTGGTGGATGCCAGGTATGGCGGCTGAAAAATGACTTCCGAATGGTGAGAAGTTCATTGTGCTTGTGATCTTGGAGGGGGCTCACCTTGTTTACAAACAACTACTCTGCGATCAGTCCACCTAAGGGGGAAAAAATGTTTACGTTAGACTTGTGCTTTAAGGAAATTTTTCTGGGTCTGAGGTGAAAATAGGATCCAATGGATCATTTCCAGAAGGGCGCTTGTAAAATTGACCATACTTTTCCATTAACTTTGGATGCTTAAAAAGGGTGTCTGATCTTGGTCACAGTGAAAAGTAGACACTAAAATACCATGAATTCGTTTTCATTTTTATACAATTAAATCTTGTCAGAGGTTTACTTTTAGGGGCAGAAAAGTCTCTGGGAAAAGTGAAGTGTGAGCGCATTCAAACCAGAAAATCATGATTTTTAATTCTCTTTGAAACCTCTGAATACGTTGCCAGAAAATGATAAAGTGATGAAAATTACTGTAGTTGCTTTTCCTTTATCTTCTGAATGTGACAAGAATCAAACTCAAAATTCAACTGTTGGAGAGTTACAAAGGAAAAATATTGCTCTTTGACTCACTGTGGTAATTTTTCGATAGAACTGTTACGCTTTTAGGTATACCGTTTCACTTTCTTTCTTGTGCATACAACGATTGCTCAGAATGAATAACAAACTCGTATTGATGTGGTGCCCTAACAAGACATGAAAAAGTGTTATAGTAGGATTCGTTTTTTTTGGTATTACCCCTTAAACTTGATCCATTTACCAAAAAAGACCTACAGGTCTATGTCAAGATTTAACCAGACCAGATCTAACTGACAATGGTAGATGGATGCTTTATAAATGCATTTGAAGGTAGAAAAATGTGTTTCTATTTAAAAAAAGAAAAACATACATTTCCCCAGGGACCGATGAGTGAAAGAGAAGAGTGATATAATTTTCGGTTTCAGCAGCAAAAATTGGTAGGAAAGCGGCTCCGCAGACACCTAGCTATAGATGTTAGACCTTTTCTTTCGGCCATCATATCCCAGTTACTCCCTGCATAATGTTATCTTTGGATCTGGGAGACACGCTTGCAGCTAAAATTTTAGTTTTATGATTATAAGGGGGTCATTTTTGGAGGCGAGCAAAAATCATTTATCAGTCGACCATTTGACAAATAATTACAAGTGGACTGAGTCTGAGAGCTTGCTGCCACGTCCTCACAAGAATGGCAGCTTATTCAAGATCACCTCAATGTCAACCTTACATGTGCATTCTAATGCATTCAAGGGTAGACTTTGGGCATGACAGTCAGGGAGAGGGGGGGCTCAAACAGCTCAAACAATGGACCAGTAGACAAGGTACAAATTTAAGTATTTTGGTATAAATTTTGTCTTCAAAATATCCTATAAATTTGCTTGATAAAAAGTAATATAACAAACTACTGACCGAGATATAAACATTTTTGATTAGCATTGGTTACGGAAAAATTGAATTTCTTACTTGCAAGAAAAATCAGAATCTACAAGAATCAGAACAAACACTACAATGGTTTTGGCAAGTTTCTTAATCTTGAACAGAGTTCCCATCCCACCCAAAGTTGATCACTTGCTTGTGGGTTGATCTGAAACACTAAGTTTGAGGCTGCCATATTTCCATGACGCAGAGACTATTACGGTGACGATAAGTATGCAATTAACTTGAGTAGATTACAGTTTTCTCATGAGCAAGAAGTTTGATTTATAGGCATCAAAAACATTATCGTGGTTTAGGGTAACTTTTAATCATTTTTGTTGCACAAATCATGTTCTACATGAGATTTTGTTCAGAGAATGTGTGGCATAATGCTAAAAATTCAGACCGTCCGCCTCCTGTGGTGCAGTGGTTGTAGCGCTGGCCCTATGACCAAGGGGTCCCGGGTTCGATTTCTGGCCAGGTGATCTAAGTTTGATGGTCTCACGCAATGGTCGGGGCTAGGGTAATAAGCGTGGGATTAGCCAATAGGCTATTTAAAAAGGGTTAAAAAAAATAATAATAAAAAAAAAAAAAAACCTTGTCTAGTGATTCATTGTTTGAGCTGGACTAGTCTCCGCCGAGTAGGAGCTGAAGTGCATGATGGGATCAGGATGCTATCCTTATTGCTGAGCTAACTGCAAAAGTTCTAAAAAAAGGAAAAAACATACTTCCTTCAACAGGGGAGGATCGACAGTTGTTCCACGCCAAGGAAATGGCTCACCGCAATGCTCAGTTTCAGAGGAAGAGCTGCCAGACAATCTTTATGGCGAACGACCAGAAACAACATCGGAATCTGAAAGAAAATTAATCATATATATTTCTAAGTAAAAATGTTCAATAAAGACAAACCGGTTAGGCTTTGTGGCTCAAGATATTAACCTTACGAATTTTAGGGCTCTGTTCTATACTGATAACCGGGTGGTGATTGCAGAAGATCCAAATAACACAGAGTACATGATAAGGAAGTTGGAGGAGGAATATTAAAAATGAGATTACGCAGTCAGTACATCCGAAACAGGGACACAGACTCGAGGTGGTGAGCAGTAAGTAAAGCGTTAAGTGAGAGAATGGGCAGCACATCATGGGCTGCGCGGTGTATAAAAACTTACAAGTGCAGTCATAACCCAAGACCAATTCAAAATGCTGAAATATGCTCCTTGATCCAATCACATTGTTGATGCTGCCAATTTATGATGGCATCTGTGCTTTCACGACGTCTGTCCTACATACTTGACATGTGCTCATTTGCTACATGAGTTTTTTACTTTCGACAATAACCTTAATACTTTTAATGAAAACTTGGTACAGAATATTGATCATCATCAGGCCTTGGTTATGAACAGAGACATAAGTATGTTATTGAAGTAAATGTTAGCAAGTCAGTCAAATGAGACAAAAAGAAAACATTCTGATAATTTGTAATGATTTCTAACTCTTGTGTGAGAATTAAAATGATAAATCACTAACTCACTAAGCTCAGGCGATTTGTTCAATGCAAACTGAATACATCAAGAGGAGCGTCCTACAATGAGAGCCCCTTAACGATACTTTGTCCTCTTCTGCTATGTGTGCATGCAACGTGTAAAACCCGAGCATGCAGCGAAAAGGACGAGCTGTCTGAAACCAGCTCTACTTGCTAAAGAATTCAATGCGTGTGAAAGACAAAAGAGACCCATGACACTAGACACTCAGCATCTCTACAACTGTCAGGGATGGTATTCAATAGTTCCTCTGTGACAAGCAAGACACATACATAGCCAGACTGTACTTTTGAATCAACTCCTCCGATCTCAAGAGAGAGATGAAAAGCTCTAATGAGTTAATTGTGCTCAAAATAATGGGTTGCAAAAAATGCTTGTTGAGACGAAAGAATTTTCTCCCTCTCGTTAGAAATATTAATTCTAAATTGATACATGACTGAAAACCCAACAAAGACGATAATGCCGGAGGGAGGTAAACATCAGATCAGAAAGGCTGGGCGGCCCTAAAGAGGGTGGCTCGCCGTCAAAATGGTTGACAACATAGACATACCGCAATGTCGGGACGGAGAGCTCGTGAGTTCCATACTAAAATACGCGATTGCACTTGTACACAAGACGACCGACTTCTCGTAAGTAGAAAACCTGGTGAAAACACAATTTAACATTGATAAACACTCACTCTAGGGGAAATAAACTTTTATAAACAAAGGCGTCGATAGGAGGAATACGGGGGACACCTGCCTCGACTGCGGCACATCATTGCCAAACTGTTGAATAAATTATCAGTAACTCAGACGCGGTGGGCACGGACTCTGTGCACGAAGGCAACCCTGCTTAGGGTAAAGCTCCCCCGCAGTCGAGACATTTTCTTTGCGCATGCGTGGGTTGAACGCGTTGCCATTAGACAGGACGGGGGAGGGATACCCAGATACCGGAGTCTGGAAAAGTGACGGGCATGCCGATGATAGAGGGTGCAATTGCAAAGTGTAGTTTGCAATTAATCATAAAGTTTCCGGACAAAATCTAAGCACGTATACAATTTGCCTGGATTTTAAACGCGTCGGTGATTTTCGGCGGGCGTAATTTGAGCAGTATCGATGTTGAAACTTACTAACCGAGTATGTTTCTACTTTTTTTCCGACGCAGTACATGAGAGATTTCCTCTCTCATTTTTCTTTTCGACTTCATATTGAGAGAAGAAACTAAAAGTCTGGTTTATTTGAGAAACATTATAAATGCCGTACGTTGTCTTATACAGATATAGCTTTTATGAATGAATCAGAGATGAAGTTTACCTAATCAATGATCATCCCTTATCGGACGAAAAATTGTGTGATTTTTTTCAACCCTTTCACCAAAAATCGCTCGAAATTCTCTGGAAAGTTTCCTACATTAAGTACACCTTTAAAAAATATAGCCGGAGCAAAAATTTTAAAACACCGCGATTAAGCTGCAGCGCGTCACAGAAACTTACTGTTTCGCTGTAAAGTGTAGCGGTACACGAGATGACCCTGGCTTCCTCCAAAATTCCGAATAGCTCAGAAAAAGCTTTCAAAGTTGTGGCCGTACATTGGCTGTACAGCATAATAAAGTCGAACTTCAGATTGACGCGAACCACGTTCGCGCTCCCCGGTATGACCGATTGCCTATGCGGCGGAATTGAAGGCGAATTTTAACAGGACGATAAGCATGTCAATAAAACGCATGGTCTTAGCCTCGGCCAGGCCCGCCACATCCCATCTTGGGCCCTGGTACCAGTTTCAAGGTCCGGGCCCCAAGCACGGAAGGGGGGGGAGTCCGAGGGGCATCCCCCGAGAAATTTCAGAATTTATACGACTAATCGGACGCATTTTGAAGCTTTCCATAAAGAATTTTTCCATCAATTTCTGCGGAATAATTATGTTTTTTTTCTACTTTCAGCACAAAATACTTGCGAATTGTTGCATTAAAAATTTTCCAGATGTTTCGAATGCAACAATTCGCAAGTATTTTGTGCTGAAAGTAGAAAAAAAACATAATTATTCCGCAGAAATTGATGGAAAAATTCTTTATGGAAAGCTTCAAAATGCGTCCGATTAGTCGTATAAATTCTGAAATTTCTCGGGGGATGCCCCTCGGACTCCCCCCCCCCTTCCGTGCTTGGGGCCCGGACCTTGAAACTGGTACCAGGGCCCAAGATGGGATGTGGCGGGCCTGGCCGAGGCTAAGACCATGCGTTTTATTGACATGCTTATCGTCCTGTTAAAATTCGCCTTCAATTCCGCCGCATAGGCAATCGGTCATACCGGGGAGCGCGAACGTGGTTCGCGTCAATCTGAAGTTCGACTTTATTATGCTGTACAGCCAATATACGGCCACAACTTTGAAAGCTTTTTCTGAGCTATTCGGAATTTTGGAGGAAGCCAGGGCGTCATCTCGTGTACCGCTACACTTTACAGCGAAACGGTAAGTTTCTGTGACGCGCTGCAGCTTAATCGCGGTGTTTTAAAATTTTTGCTCCGGCTATATTTTTTAAAGGTGTACTTAATGTAGGAAACTTTCCAGAGAATTTCGAGCGATTTTTGGTGAAAGGGTTGAAAAAAATCACACAATTTTTCGTCCGATAAGGGATGATCATTGATTAGGTAAACTTCATCTCTGATTCATTCATAAAAGCTATATCTGTATAAGACAACGTACGGCATTTATAATGTTTCTCAAATAAACCAGACTTTTAGTTTCTTCTCTCAATATGAAGTCGAAAAGAAAAATGAGAGAGGAAATCTCTCATGTACTGCGTCGGAAAAAAAGTAGAAACATACTCGGTTAGTAAGTTTCAACATCGATACTGCTCAAATTACGCCCGCCGAAAATCACCGACGCGTTTAAAATCCAGGCAAATTGTATACGTGCTTAGATTTTGTCCGGAAACTTTATGATTAATTGCAAACTACACTTTGCAATTGCACCCTCTATCATCGGCATGCCCGTCACTTTTCCAGACTCCGGTATCTGGGTATCCCTCCCCCGTCCTGTCTAATGGCAACGCGTTCAACCCACGCATGCGCAAAGAAAATGTCTCGACTGCGGGGGAGCTTTACCCTAAGCAGGGTTGCCTTCGTGCACAGAGTCCGTGCCCACCGCGTCTGAGTTACTGATAATTTATTCAACAGTTTGGCAATGATGTGCCGCAGTCGAGGCAGGTGTCCCCCGTATTCCTCCTATCGACGCCTTTGTTTATAAAAGTTTATTTCCCCTAGAGTGAGTGTTTATCAATGTTAAATTGTGTTTTCACCAGGTTTTCTACTTACGAGAAGTCGGTCGTCTTGTGTACAAGTGCAATCGCGTATTTTAGTATGGAACTCACGAGCTCTCCGTCCCGACATTGCGGTATGTCTATGTTGTCAACCATTTTGACGGCGAGCCACCCTCTTTAGGGCCGCCCAGCCTTTCTGATCTGATGTTTACCTCCCTCCGGCATTATCGTCTTTGTTGGGTTTTCAGTCATGTATCAATTTAGAATTAATATTTCTAACGAGAGGGAGAAAATTCTTTCGTCTCAACAAGCATTTTTTGCAACCCATTATTTTGAGCACAATTAACTCATTAGAGCTTTTCATCTCTCTCTTGAGATCGGAGGAGTTGATTCAAAAGTACAGTCTGGCTATGTATGTGTCTTGCTTGTCACAGAGGAACTATTGAATACCATCCCTGACAGTTGTAGAGATGCTGAGTGTCTAGTGTCATGGGTCTCTTTTGTCTTTCACACGCATTGAATTCTTTAGCAAGTAGAGCTGGTTTCAGACAGCTCGTCCTTTTCGCTGCATGCTCGGGTTTTACACGTTGCATGCACACATAGCAGAAGAGGACAAAGTATCGTTAAGGGGCTCTCATTGTAGGACGCTCCTCTTGATGTATTCAGTTTGCATTGAACAAATCGCCTGAGCTTAGTGAGTTAGTGATTTATCATTTTAATTCTCACACAAGAGTTAGAAATCATTACAAATTATCAGAATGTTTTCTTTTTGTCTCATTTGACTGACTTGCTAACATTTACTTCAATAACATACTTATGTCTCTGTTCATAACCAAGGCCTGATGATGATCAATATTCTGTACCAAGTTTTCATTAAAAGTATTAAGGTTATTGTCGAAAGTAAAAAACTCATGTAGCAAATGAGCACATGTCAAGTATGTAGGACAGACGTCGTGAAAGCACAGATGCCATCATAAATTGGCAGCATCAACAATGTGATTGGATCAAGGAGCATATTTCAGCATTTTGAATTGGTCTTGGGTTGACTGCACTTGTAAGTTTTTATACACCGCGCAGCCCATGATGTGCTGCCCATTCTCTCACTTAACGCTTTACTTACTGCTCACCACCTCGAGTCTGTGTCCCTGTTTCGGATGTACTGACTGCGTAATCTCATTTTTAATATTCCTCCTCCAACTTCCTTATCATGTACTCTGTGTTATTTGGATCTTCTGCAATCACCACCCGGTTATCAGTATAGAACAGAGCCCTAAAATTCGTAAGGTTAATATCTTGAGCCACAAAGCCTAACCGGTTTGTCTTTATTGAACATTTTTACTTAGAAATATATATGATTAATTTTCTTTCAGATTCCGATGTTGTTTCTGGTCGTTCGCCATAAAGATTGTCTGGCAGCTCTTCCTCTGAAACTGAGCATTGCGGTGAGCCATTTCCTTGGCGTGGAACAACTGTCGATCCTCCCCTGTTGAAGGAAGTATGTTTTTTCCTTTTTTTAGAACTTTTGCAGTTAGCTCAGCAATAAGGATAGCATCCTGATCCCATCATGCACTTCAGCTCCTACTCGGCGGAGACTAGTCCAGCTCAAACAATGAATCACTAGACAAGGTTTTTTTTTTTTTTTATTATTATTTTTTTTAACCCTTTTTAAATAGCCTATTGGCTAATCCCACGCTTATTACCCTAGCCCCGACCATTGCGTGAGACCATCAAACTTAGATCACCTGGCCAGAAATCGAACCCGGGACCCCTTGGTCATAGGGCCAGCGCTACAACCACTGCACCACAGGAGGCGGACGGTCTGAATTTTTAGCATTATGCCACACATTCTCTGAACAAAATCTCATGTAGAACATGATTTGTGCAACAAAAATGATTAAAAGTTACCCTAAACCACGATAATGTTTTTGATGCCTATAAATCAAACTTCTTGCTCATGAGAAAACTGTAATCTACTCAAGTTAATTGCATACTTATCGTCACCGTAATAGTCTCTGCGTCATGGAAATATGGCAGCCTCAAACTTAGTGTTTCAGATCAACCCACAAGCAAGTGATCAACTTTGGGTGGGATGGGAACTCTGTTCAAGATTAAGAAACTTGCCAAAACCATTGTAGTGTTTGTTCTGATTCTTGTAGATTCTGATTTTTCTTGCAAGTAAGAAATTCAATTTTTCCGTAACCAATGCTAATCAAAAATGTTTATATCTCGGTCAGTACTTTGTTATATTACTTTTTATCAAGCAAATTTATAGGATATTTTGAAGACAAAATTTATACCAAAATACTTAAATTTGTACCTTGTCTACTGGTCCATTGTTTGAGCTGTTTGAGCCCCCCCTCTCCCTGACTGTCATGCCCAAAGTCTACCCTTGAATGCATTAGAATGCACATGTAAGGTTGACATTGAGGTGATCTTGAATAAGCTGCCATTCTTGTGAGGACGTGGCAGCAAGCTCTCAGACTCAGTCCACTTGTAATTATTTGTCAAATGGTCGACTGATAAATGATTTTTGCTCGCCTCCAAAAATGACCCCCTTATAATCATAAAACTAAAATTTTAGCTGCAAGCGTGTCTCCCAGATCCAAAGATAACATTATGCAGGGAGTAACTGGGATATGATGGCCGAAAGAAAAGGTCTAACATCTATAGCTAGGTGTCTGCGGAGCCGCTTTCCTACCAATTTTTGCTGCTGAAACCGAAAATTATATCACTCTTCTCTTTCACTCATCGGTCCCTGGGGAAATGTATGTTTTTCTTTTTTTAAATAGAAACACATTTTTCTACCTTCAAATGCATTTATAAAGCATCCATCTACCATTGTCAGTTAGATCTGGTCTGGTTAAATCTTGACATAGACCTGTAGGTCTTTTTTGGTAAATGGATCAAGTTTAAGGGGTAATACCAAAAAAAACGAATCCTACTATAACACTTTTTCATGTCTTGTTAGGGCACCACATCAATACGAGTTTGTTATTCATTCTGAGCAATCGTTGTATGCACAAGAAAGAAAGTGAAACGGTATACCTAAAAGCGTAACAGTTCTATCGAAAAATTACCACAGTGAGTCAAAGAGCAATATTTTTCCTTTGTAACTCTCCAACAGTTGAATTTTGAGTTTGATTCTTGTCACATTCAGAAGATAAAGGAAAAGCAACTACAGTAATTTTCATCACTTTATCATTTTCTGGCAACGTATTCAGAGGTTTCAAAGAGAATTAAAAATCATGATTTTCTGGTTTGAATGCGCTCACACTTCACTTTTCCCAGAGACTTTTCTGCCCCTAAAAGTAAACCTCTGACAAGATTTAATTGTATA